CACACAAGCAGGTCACTCGATTGTAGATACACAGAGCGCATTCTACATCATACAAAACATGTTGAGCTAGGCAGCAGTGGCTGGCATTTACCGGCATGCACCAATGCCAATGCGCGGCTTGAGCAAATAGTACAAGCCTCGGAACACCCATATGCCATTTTAGAGACAGAACAAGGCGATGAGTAAGCACCAAAGGATTATATGAATAGCGGCCAGGCAATAATTCAGGCCACTGCTGCTAATCAAGGACTAGTTACTAGTACTAGTATGTTGTCAGTGTACCCTGAAACGATGCAATCACAGCGAACGTGATACGTGCACATCATGTTGCCTGGTTCTTGGTTAAAAGTTGTATCCTCAATGCTTGAGGTTTGTGGGGTCCCTCCAGCTTCTCAGAGTCCTGCACAAAAAAGATAAAAGCAAGTGCAGGTAGAATAATAGTAAGCTCACATAAAACCTCTTCGTCTTGCTAACGAATTTCGTGATAAACGAGGCTACAGGAAAAAAAAGTTCAACCATAATGCAAAAAGGCAACTTTAGCTAATCATATTTTTGGCAGCAACACTATACCGTTTGTATAGGAGAGTTGGCTTGGTGCATTCATGCCAAATGCACTCCCTATAGTATTGTATTTATACTGTACTTCATCATTTTACTTGGGCATTCATTCCCAGTAGCCCTAATGTCTTCTAACAGAGTGCGCAAGGTACTGCATATTCGGCGCATATTTTATTTTCGGCTATTATCGGCCTGTGCATTTTTAATTCGGAAAGTGGTGGACATCACGCAACTGAATTGTAAATAAAAGGGGGTTCGTCAACTGACAACCGCATACTTTTTCGACGTCACTGATAAAAGAATTTTTCGTCCAGTGCATGCGCCAAGAGTGAATAGCAACCGAATAGAGCGGTTGTCATTTGACAACCCCCCCCCCTTTTATACTAGAGGAAACACAAAAGGTAACAAGATTACGTAACCAAAGGTGAGAAGGCACTGAACGAACTGTCAACCTACGAATACAACCTCAGTGCAACAACGTGCTCTTTCTGCTTACACAAGCAGAAAGAGAAAGAGCACGTTGTTGCACTGAGGTTGTATTCGTAGGTTGACACTTTGTTCAGTGCCTTCTCCCCTTTTATTTACTGGGCATTCGTAGCCTAAAATTCCTTTTGCAAGGTTCAATGTGACAATGTATACAGGCATCAGCAGTACAGGCTGAAATTTCAATGTGGCCGAGATGTGTTTTTGCCCTGGGGAGGCTGCAATTTAAAAGCGTCGAAAATTTGCATACTTTACAACACAGTACTGAGCATGCGGTGAGCTGATAACAAAATGAATTGGAGGTACTAATAATGCTAAGGGATTCGGGGCGCATCAAAGGGGTCAGCACCAAGGAATGGGATAGATTTGTGCCCAGTTCGGGTATGTATATTGGGTATAGAACGGAAATTATTGGCTTAGCCTCGGGCGACTCCTACCAGTATTGCCACCAATGGCGCATGGCTGCTGATCTCTGTGATAGAAATGAGACGTGTATGTGAAACCAAAATACGGCTTTTCAAGATGTATGTGCATTTTGTGAAGATCTGATGTAAGTCATTAGGGATACCTTGTTGGGTCTTGCCAACATTCAATTATTATGATGCTCATATCTATGCAATAACATTAATGGAATTATCAGCAAGAATCAATAACCCCAAGAGTATGCAGCTTTGTACATGGAGTCTGCCACAACACGTTGACCAAAGTACATGAACCTAGACACGAGCTGGGGAATCAGCTGAGCTGCTGCACCATTTATGATCTGCTATAGTTTCCAGTCTCCACGGAGGTTTTTCTTGGAGACGTCGAATCTACAGTATTAGGTGTGAAACTGTTGTACTAAACCGCAGGAGATAGAATCTATTCAGCTCAGACAACATTTCACTACGTACGGAAGGACGTACGCCGATCAAAGCTTGCTACACTCCCGTTTAGTCAACTTAACGGCCCAAATAATGCTTGGGTCATGAACTCAGCGCTGTTGGTCTTTCGAGGGTGCCTGACAATGGTTGTTAATGCACAGCACCAGCCGAGCCAAATGACAAGATCAGAGACATAGATCTTACTAGTTCAATTGCTGAAACGTGACTTGTGCAAACGTTATGTAGCAAAAGGAACTGTACTACGGCACTACACGCCATTCACAATAATCAAAAATGCCCACTTGACAAAACAGAATTTCATCAACGGAGCCCCGGGATTTTTTCTTCTGTACTTATGCATTATGGAGTCATAGCATAAGGGAGACGGCACGGTAGACTTTCAGCCTAAATCATAACGAGGGCCAGCTGGGCAGCTCAAAAGAGAGCTCTATGCACTATTGGCAGAGTGGTATACATGAATAGAGAGTGACCACCCAGTGCGTGAAGCTTTTCGTGTCACCCTAGAAAATTTCAAAAATTGATAATGTGGGTTGAACCCCGGGCTGCCAGTGACAGTTGCCCTTACTGCCTTAGGGGCAAGTGCGATACATACATGCTCGCATATAGTATCGCTTGACTGACCCATGCTTGGGGCCAGTGGGTCAAGTCCGCGATCACGAGTTGCATAAACCACAGATCATGTAGAATCTCCATGGATCCAATCTGTGTACTGTAAAAGCAGAAATTTTCGGTGGTGCAATATTTTCAGAATTCTCCAAAATCGGCGGTTCGGTGGAGGGAAATTTTCGGTAATACCCGCTTTCCAGGTAAGGGTGCTAGTACTACTCAGTAGTACTGAAAAATTTCGGTGCTTTTTTTCGGTAAAAATTGTCGGCACCGAAGTTACCGAAAATAAAACACCACTGAAAATTTCTGCTTTTACAGTACATCATTTTGGGTATTATGATCTCGTGTTGTTTCCTTGGGTGCTACGACTCCCTCCCTGACATGCATTGATCCATGGCACGGTATGATTTGGGCAATTTCAGCCAATCAGTAGACGTTCTGAGAGGGGCATATTCAACGATACACCCTGCTCAGTTCACATGGGTCGCGCCAAGAGTGAATATTGGGAGGAGTCTTGGGAAAGTGCCCTGGGAGAAATGGATAGCACCATTGTATACATGCACTGCATTCCCCATAATTTCCTCGTGTTATGTCCTCGGGAAAATATTTAACGTATACCCTTCATATACTCATAGAATAATCCAAATGCATCTGCAGTCAACCACGGGTATAACAACCCACGGATAGTGACACTATCTTCAGACCTAGTAACAATATAGCCGTATATTATCAACCCCGTGAATGACGACAACTCCCAAATAGCAACACTTTTCTCATGCCCGATCAAGGGTCGTTCGTTACTGGCAAAGTTAGCTGGACATCATGTCATGTAGTCATTATTATTTCAGGCAGGGACAATGAAATACACCCCCGCCCCCATTCCTGCAGAGGGAACAGTGCTGTGTCCAGGTCCGCATGCAGCATGGAGGTGCTAGTAAGCCGCTGGCATATTTTCTCTTGTGGATCGATGTACAGTGCGTGACAATGCTTCCACAGTGGTGGTGGTGGTGGTGGTGGCGGGAGCATATTGCACTGCAGGGCATTACAGCACTGGCATACTATTATTTTCTCTTGCAGACGTGCCGTGCACGACAATGATTCTATAGTGGTGGTCACGGTGGTGGTGTGGTGGTCATGGTGGTGGTGGTGGTGGTGGTGGTGGTGGTGGTGGTGGTGGTGGTGGTGGTGGTGGTGGTGGTGGTGGTGGTGGTGGTGGTGGTGGTGGTGGTGGTGGTGGTGGTCATGGTGGTGGTGGTGGTGGTGGTCATGGTGGTGGTGGTGGTCATGGTGGTGGTGGTGGTGGTGGTCATGGTGGTGGTGGTGGTCATGGTGGTGGTGGTGGTGGTGGTGGTGGTGGTTGTGGTGCTGCTGGTGGTGGTTGCGGTGGTGGGAGCATTCTGCACTGCAGGGCATTAAAGCAAGCTCGATTGTGCATGCATGGTGGCGGTGGGAAAGAGGAGCCAAGGAAAGTGTGTACATATTTTTGTTGAAAGCACGAGAATTCAAAGAAAGCTGGCTGCTTCCTCTATTCCCATGATCGGCCAGTGCCTGCAGCACGAACAGTACATTGTATTACATGTATGTGCATAGACAGACAAATAAACACTAACCTGAGCATGGGTACCGCTTGTATTCGTGGTCAGGAAAGTGAAAGTACGAACGAAGGAGAAGAAGATTGTGGACCATGGCGAACAACTGCATATCCAGAGGGCACACAGCTTGCCAGAATGGGTCGGCTACATCTTCGCTAATTTTCTATCCTAACAACATTCAGCTTCGAGGTCAAGGACGACGGCATTTTTGGAAGGAAATTTCGAATTTTGGAGAAGAAGCTTGCTTTCGGAAAAATGTTCCTTTCACGCAAGGCAGCATGCCAGGTCAGGCGTGTGAACCAGGTGAACTGTGTCGGCAGATCGACGTTGACGTTCCAGGCCGACAGTTTTTTGACCAAGCCGTGAATCGCCCTCGCTCGGACTCGCCCGGCTACGAAGGAGTAATTTTACAACTCTTCAGGCCAGCTACAGGTCTCTGATGCACAGCTGCAAGTGACGGATATCGGTCATTTGCAGCCACTACTTAGAGCCTCCTGGTCGTTGCAATCTGATACATAATATACCTCACCTTTTCGAGCATACTCCACCGGTGCCTACTAACGAGGGCCAGGGAGTCGGCATTTGACGACTCCCTTCACTGGACTGGTGACGGCCCTGCCCCAACTGGCCCGGACTGGAACGGGCAGCCCGGAGCCCCGGGCGCACCGGTGCACCGCCACGTGCAAGCGAAACCGACATCATTTCGCGCGAAATCGCCACGTTCCATGCTCGCCGGCTGCGGCCCCGCATATAGCTCAACGGCTAAGATTTTTGTAACTGTGCACATGTGGTACAATACATGGTGACGATCCGGATCGTAGATTTACACTTTTCACGCTTTTCGTTGATTTCGAGTTTGTTTGAGTGCATGCCGTCGGTTCGACACACTTTCTGTGTTTCCGTTTTGTTTTCCTTCCCTCCGGCGGTGCTGTGCGGAAGTCGGAGGCAGGTGCATGATCTCTGCCAAGGAGTTCATGCCGTCCAACGAGAACTACTGTTGAGGTGCAAAAGAGGTGATAGCTTTGCCGATTTGGTGCTCTGTAGAGATTTAGTTTCGGTTGGACAAGCCTCGCCATCAAAACGCGGCAAGGAAAGTCGTCTTTCAACGGAAAAAAGACGAATGCCCGAGACTCAGCCAGAAGGCACACCGGCAACTTGATTGGTTGAAAGTCCAACGGAATATCAGGTAGGGGTTTGTGTTACGTGAGTGTGAGTGCGTGTGTGTGTATGTATGGTGGCGGTGTGGGAGTGCGTGAGCTGCATGCTGTGCAGCAATTAGGCACTGAGTTCGACGTACAATCATGATTGTATTTTCCTGTTTTAGTACAGCGGCTGCGTGTACGCTGTCTCCGAGTGCGTTTCAATGTTCTCACCCACTGCTGCCGAAGTCTTCCAATTCGGCCTTGACAGATTCAGTATGAAGATAATATTATCACACTCTGACTTCAAAGCTTTTGCGCAGGAGTGTTAGCTTCGTAGTCCAATTTCGTTCGAAAAGTTTCCAATAAATTAATCAATATTTAAACCAACATTATTCAGTGTAGTGAACAAAAGGATTCAAGGGGAAAGTGGCAAGTTCTGGTGGATTCCCTTTCTTTAGAGTTTCACTTCCCACAGAGATAACATAATCGGTAATTCAAGTGAATTGAAATAACAAAATAATCCGGCTGTCCTCTCTCTCTGTCTCTCTCTCTCTCTGTCTCTCTCTGTCTCTCTGTCTCTCTGTCTCTCTCTCTCTCTGTCTCTCTGTCTCTGTCTCTCTCTCTCTCTGTCTCTCTCTCTCTGTCTCTGTCTCTCTCTGTCTCTCTCTGTCTCTCTCTGTCTCTCTCTGTCTCTCTCTGTCTCTCTCTTTCTCTGTCTCTGTCTCTCTGTCTCTGTCTCTCTCTCTGTCTCTCTCTCTCTCTCTGTGTCTCTCTCTCTCTCTGTCTCTCTCTCTGTCTCTCTGTCTCTCTCTCTCTCTCTCTCTCTGTCTCTCTCTCTCTCTGTCTCTCTGTCTCTCTCTCTCTCTCTCTCTCTCTCTCTCTCTCTCTCTCTCTCTCTCTCTCTCTCTCTCTCTCTCTCTCTCTCTCTCTCTCTCTCTCTCTCTCTCTCTCTCTCTCTCTCTCTCTCTCTCTCTCTCTCTCTCTCTCTCTCTCTCTCTCTCTCTCTCTCTCTCTCTCTCTCTCCCTCTCTCTCTCTATCTCATGCACTAGCCACATACATGCGCACACACACACACACTAAGGGCGGATCCGGGGGGGGGGGGGGGGGGGGGGATAGGTGCTCATGCACCCCTCGGGTTTTGCCACAATGGTATGTGATGGTGTGACTATGAGCAATATGTTAAAAGAAAACGTGCCATCGTATTTCCGGCACCCCTCAGGTTGCAGCCCTGGATCTGCCCCTGCACACCCTCACACACGCACTCACACACGCACACACACACATGCACACACACACACCCTTACACCCTCACACACTCACACTACGAAAAAATCAATGTCAACATGATACTGAGGGCAAGTTCAGATAGAAGCGAAGTAGTACGGTCAGAAATGGCAAATACAAGATGACCAACGCACCCATAACACCCCTGTAAAGTGCACATTTTCCTCGGCAGGGAGAGGGAGCGTACCACAGCAAACGCAGTAAGGAGTGCATGGAAACGGTGCCGAATGCAATGCAGTGTGAAATTGGAAAGTTTTGAATTTTTCTAGAATGCAGTGTGAAACTAGTCTTAACGCTTGTGTTAGAATTAGAGATGTTTGGTTCAGCAAGACAAACTCCACATCAGTTCTACATTATACTCATAAAAAGTATTTCACCTAATGAGAAGGCTTGAAAGTATACTTGTGAAACCAAAAACTTTGAAGATGTTCGTAAAGAGCCTGAAGTGTGTCCTTTTTATGAGTATTATCACATTTTTGTCTCAGAGGAAACAGTTCTACGTTGTTTGTAGTTCCAGTATTGGGTTGTGCGTGAAGTGTGTGGGTACAGTGAGAGCCCTCCAGGCTGTGTAGTATCAAAGGATCTGAGAAAGCATGCCTTTCGAAGTCTGGAGAGTCGAACACATACCTTGTACCACGGTTGGCCAATATCGTCCACGGTCCCCTGTTCAAGTCCTAATGCTGAGAACCAATTTTTCTTCCATTCCTCCCATTCATTCCCTCAAATTATTTAATACTGTATTTTCTCTAATAAAAGCCCAGGTCTCCAATAATAGCCAAGTCTGCAATAATGACCCGGGGTGAGGGTTGTTTGAAATAATAAGAGCACAGGTTCCAATGGTAGGGTGGCCACAATTGGAGTATGTAGCAAGTATATTGACTGCATATAAAACCGCAGTACAGCATGCCAGGCACATAATATTTGTAAGGTGTCTACTACTTCCTTTCTGACGCCCATGCTATTGCGAAACATCAGTTTTAACAATATTCCTGAGTTTAGAGTTGAGAAAATCAGTCTTGATTCGGTCAGCTTATGCCGATATAGACTGGAGTTGGCTTGATAGTGGAGCATTGGAGAAATAAGAGCCCAGTCTCCAATAATAGCACAGTCTCTAATAGTAGCGTGGGTAGAGGTGTCACTGAAATGATAGGGAGGTTCCGGAGTACGATATTTCGTGCCAAAATCCGTAGAGGCGCTACGGATTTTTTATACGTCGTTTTCGAGCAGTGAAATGTTCCGGAATACGGAACTTACGTGTTTGCCGTCATTGCCTAGGTTACGATCGCAAACACGTCACATTCCCTCGCTATGCCTTTTTATTTTGAAAATTTGTACCGAAATCAAAACTTCCCGCGGAAAATCCATGTTTCTCGTACCAAATTTGTACACGAAAAATCTTTCTGCACCCGATGACGCAACATCTCCATACGAAACATAGTTCGTGTGAAAGCCAGTCCACACGGATTCTCCGTGCCGAAAAATCGTATGGAGCACGCCTGGAAAAAATCCGTAGCGCCCACACGGATTTTGGCACGCAAAATCGTACCCCGGAACCCCTCTATTAACCCATTGAACGCTGATGACGTCTATAGACGTCATTGAAAATGCCCCCCATGCGCGGATGACGTCTATAGACGTCATGGGATATAATAGACACCCTTAGCAAACAACGATAACGCTATTTTTTACGGTACTCGTACCTTGATCACCCAAATAGCGTTGAAGCTGCAGCGTAAAAACGTTATGGGGGCTGATTTATCGTTGTGACCAACGGTACGTGTTTTGGCCAAATATTGCATAGTCCGTACGCATTTCACCTTGTATCGCGTATATGGTGACAAAAATGGTTGTACCGAGCGAAATCAAATCTATTCTCGTGGCAACAGCGTACTAAAAATAGCGTGCATCTTGCTAAAGGTCGAACTAAAATCACGGTATTTTCCCCCTTACGATAATACCGTCACAACATAACGTTTTTTGCTAAGGGTGTCTAATAGCGATTTCTGGCACTCTCTGGTGTGTAAAAGCACTGTTAGTCAGTTGGATCATGATCCTGCCTCTTGTACGATAGGTTCTTGGTACGGATCCCGCTTGGAAACACTACACGTCTTTTTTTCTTCTCTTTTCAGCGATGTTTCAGCTGCAATTTCACGCATTTGACGTATTTCACGCAATTTGAGCAAACTTGCGTCCCCTGTTGTGATGCGCTATTCTTTTTGGGGACTGTATCGATTCTGTCACCCTGTGGTTGATAGTCTTGGCAATCATTTCCAAAATATTTGAGGACCCCAGTTGCCAGAACCCTGGAGTTTTAGATCTTGCTATTGGCCCTGTTTTTAGCATTTATATGCAGAGTACCATAGGCAAGGCCCAGTAGCGCTGAATGGGTTAAGAACCCTGGGCTCTTATTAGAGAAAATACGGTAGTACTACATGCAAGAGTACATAACTCCCAAGAGTGTGCAACTCCAGCTACGGGGTCTGCGACGGCAGAATTTCACATCACGTGATGAACCCGTACACATTATTAATTTGCACTCTTTGCATGATAGATACAGGGTTTGACGCAATAGATGATCATGCCAAATAACGTGCAACTAGACTTGGGAGGGCATTGCACACCAGTTGCATGCAAACTATACTACAATGCGTACATGGTAGGCTCTGAGCTCTGCAGGAGCACAAGTCACAGGTACCCGTACAACTTTGAACTTTGTATGCAACTACTCTGCGACGCCCTCCCAAGTCTAGTTGCACGTTATTTGGCCTATCATCTATCCAGCTTTGATCTCAACTCTCTTGCGGTCACTTTGCAACATTTGCCAGTAGGGAGGTTCTGCTATACGTGAAACGTAGGGAAATCACGTAGAGAGCAGGTGTCTGGGTTAGAGTCTACGGCTTCGCGTGTTTTGGCTCCAGATTTCTATGCGGAGATGTGGTTCTCTACGTTGTGGCACACGCAGAGAAAATGCGTATGGATCTGCCAGGTATCGATCAACTGCAGGCAGAAAACTGCTAAATATGGAAGGGGAAAGTCCCAGTACACATTTCACGTGATTTCTCCACGTGAACGTAGAGCAGAACAGCTTTTCTTTACGTGACGGGAACGCGAAGAGAGTTCCCGGGCCTACGTGATTTCTCTGCGTTTCACGTATAGCAGAACCTCTCTATTTTAACCTTCTGGACCATGTCACGTGATGTGAAGTTCTGCCGTCGCAGCACAGTATAGAGGTTGTGCAGGCAGTTGCACACTCTTGGGGTTATGTACTCTTGCTACGTGCAATACCAAAGGAACATACCGGTACCCCAGGAGTGTGCAACCGCCTGCACAACCTCTACCCAGTGCTGCGATGGCAGAACTTCACATCATGTGACATGGTCCAGAAGGTTACACTGGCAAACAGTGCAAAGTGGCCACAAGAGAGTTGAACCCAAAGCCGGGTTGCGCACGACCCTGCATCTATCGTACACAGGGTGCAAATAATGTGTACCAGTTCGTCACCTGATGTGAAGTCCTGCCGTCGCAGACCCCACAGCTAGAGTCGCACACTCTTGGGGGTTATGTACTCCAGCTAATACGTGTTGCTGTGGAGAAAATAATGATATCAATTCAATAGTGTGTCATTGGATTGGTTTTAATTGGTCTCGGGCACGAGGCGATCATCAGGCAACAGTAATGAGATAAATGCTGGCGGTTTATAAATATATTATCTCTTAATTTGCTAAATCCTATATATAGGATTTTGGTCATATTTTTCAACTCAAAATGGGTGTGGCATGAGCATAGGGAAACGTATGTGACCAATCCTTTCGCATTAGGTCTTAGTCGATATGGAGAGTTGAAGAAGATATTTTTTTCAAATACTAACATCTAAGGCTCATCTCCTTGCGCAATATTTCTAAGGCCTGTGCCCTATTTTTTGAATCCTATATATAGGATTTGAGATTTTACTGGACCTTGTTTTATCCTTAAAATTGGTAGTTTCACGACGGCATGTGCGATATGTCGTCATGAAACCACCCCGTGCCACACCTGTAATGTTCTTTTGCACATTCACTGCTTCAGTCCTTCCCATGACACCAGCTGAACAATGCCGCTCAAAATTCCAATCCTTTCTCAAAATGGGTAATCATGATGTCCTTTGAATCTCAAAAGTAAACATTCATGCCTCAAACATATTTACAGCTTCTAATAAACCCATTATGCTCTTATTATGGGTCATGAATGACTCATGATGACCAATAACAACGGCATAAGGGTCACGCATTTTCAAATCCTATATATAGGACTTTTGCCCAGCAAATTAAGAGATACCGGTATTATTATATGCCCACGAAGACCTGCAATATCTGTTCGAACTCACGTGCATGGATTCCATTACAATTGTATACCAAACACCACAAGCAGCTATAATCTATGATCATGACCACCCGGATCAGCAGAAAAGGCAATACAAAGGTCCATATCCGCATGATTCGGGGGACAGCACGTGGATCTGCAATGCCTCTAAAGCAGCCAAACGCAACTTGGATCTAGTGCGAGCCAAAAACAGAAACCTCTTCGGATGTTTATACGGAGAAGTTTTCCATCTCCTACACGGTATTGTCGCTGCCGATGTCAAAAGTGACCGTACGTTTCACCAAATCGGATTCAGACCGTCCATCATGGGAGTGAACACTCCCTGTTGAACTTCTGATGTTCGTTAGCATACTGTGTTATCTGGAGTATAGCCGCATATCGAGCACTCAAAATTCAACCCAAAAAAGGGGGTGCGGCGCACTTATACTCCGATAATCAAATTAATCAATAGTTGAGGAGACAGTAAGCGTAAAATGGCAATGAATGAAACAAATTGTCCATGAGGTTGGTTATTCCAACGAGGAGCACACGCTTCCTGCCAAACTTGGCACTTGATTGACTCACGACTGCCATCCGGAGCACACGAGGAGCACATCGCACCTTCCACTCGGCAAACCTGCAAGAAAGCACCACTCCCGGCTCAATACACAGTGTTTTGGGGACTTCACCCCTCATCAGTTGAGCTTCAGTAGGCTGAGGAAGATTGTGCCTGAAAAGCACCACTTATATAGTGCCCCAGGCCAAACCATCACCAGGGATACAAACTTACAGAGACGCTTTGTTTCCAGCGTGACAAACACCTCGTGAGGCCCCAGGTAGCAGCGTGAGTCAGAGTCGCTCATGTGTGTTCATCGTTGGAACAACCAACTTCATGACAAATACCGCCGAAGTCGCAACTTCTAAGTTCAAATTGTGCGGTAATAACAATGTAAAAGATAAACATTCCACTGATGAGTGTCACGCGAAAATGTTTTTGGAAATTAGTGCATTTATATTATTTAATTAGACTGCACAATTTGTTTTATTCCCGTAGCTATGCAGAAGACGTTACTGGCGCTAGCCAGGGTCCACACAGCTTTAATTTGGTGTTTGTGTGTTTGTGTGAGTCACGCCTGGAGCTACCGTATCTGTCCCGTATCTGTCCCGTATCTGTGATTTGGTGTTTGTTTGTGTGTGTTTGTGTCACGCCTAGAGCTACCGTATCTGTCCCGTATCTGTGACTACAAAGGTTCTACAGGATTGTACATAACAGCTGGCCACAAACAGCTGGCCACAATATTCGTCGTATTATGTTTACGACTCCCTGATGTAGAGGGAGATTTGCAAAGAAAATTAATAGGGAGACGAGGAGGAAATAAAATTAGAATGGACGCTAGTTGCGGAATAGGTGATAGGATGCGTCAGCAAAAACATACTTTGGAAGAGAGATCCCGTCGTCTCCAAAATAAGCGTGAACGGGCGATTCAGCGCCGGTCACAGGAAACGTCGGAAGAGAGATCCTGTCGACTCCAGAACACCCGTGATCGGCAGAGTCAGCGCCGGTCCCAGGAAACGTCAGGACAGACGCAGAATCGACTCCAAAATAGGCGTGAACGGGCGATTCACCGCCGGTCACAGGAAACGTCGGAAGAGAGATCCCGTCGAGTCCAGAACGCCCGTGATCGGCAGAGTCAGCGCCAGTCACAGGAAACGTCAGGACAGACATCTTGTCAACTCCAAAATAAGCGTGAACGGGCGATTCAGCGCCGGTCACAGGAAAAGTTGGAAGAGAGATCCCGTCGAGGCCAGAACGCCTGTGATCGGCAGAGTCAGCGCCGGTCACCGGAAACGTCAGGACAGACATCAGGACATTTTTTGCCTACCTCATTGTACATGTTACTAGAATTGATGGAAATGTTTTTTCCGTTGATTGGCTACATCGTTGTATTGCAAAAACGTTTCAATCAGTATGAATATGAGCTAGGCAAAAGTATTGCGGATTGCTATTTTTCTCTCACTTCATCCGCTTTCGGTTTGCTCCTTCTTTTCCTTTTTATCTCCATAAAATCGGATTTTCTGGCCTTTTTACATTAAAAGCATAGCGTAGGGCCCTGAGCTTCCAAGCTCTCTCGTTCATTGCGAACAAATTAATGGTGATAAATACTACTTACTATTACGGATAGATGTCTGTATTTCATGGCAGAAAATGGAGGGGGGGGGGGGTGCTAATACTCCGCGAAGTACGGCAACTGTTGTAACAGTTCAGGTTGAGTTTGACATGCATTCTTTTCTTGTTGATGCCTGTGTTACAGAGCCAACACCAGCTGTACCGTTTCGAGCCGGCACTAGAGCCAGCAGCAGCACCATCGCTTCTAGTCAGCGCCAGCCACGGCCCCGCAGCAGCTGCAGCAGCCATGGAGAGTTCTGCGGACGAGCTGGTGCGCAGCAACCTGTCGGCCATCCAGCAGGTCGAGCAGCGCATGGAGAGCCTGGTGTCGCGCATGACCTTCCAGCGCGACTCCCTGGAGCAGGTGTACGGCTCGATGCGCGACGAGCACAAGATCCTCATGGACTCCATCAGTCATCTACTGCTGGTGCGTGCCATCAAGGCTAGCGGGGAATGCCCGGCATCCATATCCACGCTGCCGCCACTGCTCAGCCGCCACCTGGAGCAGGACATCATACCGTCCCAGGAGGAGGAGAAGTACGATTTTGACATGGGCCGCCGCATCAGCGGCGCGACGCTGGCCAACCGGAAGGCCTCCACCTCGTCACTGGGCGGCCAGACGGCCAAGCTGCTGAGCCGCTTCACGCCGCGGCGCAGCCGAGACGACGACAGCAACCCGAGTGCTGCTGCTGCTGCTCTGCTGGCGGACGACACAGCGTCGGTCGACGACTTCCACGTGCGGCGACGCCTGGAGAGCTTTGGTGGCATCGTTCTGCGATCGGACAGCACTCGCATCAAGGAACGGGTAACACCCTCGATAGGCTCGTTGCCCACGTCCCGGGTTTCGTCCTCGACGGATATCACCCTGCCGGTCACCCCGACCGCAGAGGCGGATGACAGCGGGGGAAAGCGCTCGACCGTCAGCAAGCTGGCCAAGGCGTTCGGCAAGACGCAGCAGCAGTCCAGCAGCACCACAACCATCGGCTCCCAGTCCGTCTCCAGCGGCAATGCGGTATCCACGACGACCAGCACCAGCACGTCGACCACGCCGGCCAAGATGAGCTCGTTGGCGCGTGGCCCGAACGCCAAACTCACCAAGACGAACTCGCTGCAGGGCTCTGCTTCCTTGGATGTGGCCAGTCATAATCCCGCAATCGCCGCGACCCCTAGCTATTGCGAGGAGCAAGACGACGGCAAGAAGCAGAGCAGCAGCAGCGGCAAGTCATCATTCCAGTTCGGTATTCGCCGGCAGAAAGGCAAGCTGACGCGACAGACCGACGAGAACAGTCTGCCGGGGAGCACTCACGACATCGCGTCCGCCGCCAACGGCCTCAACCTGCTCACGTCGAAGGATGGCAGTCCTTCCAACCCGCCGCCTACGTCAATGTCCTCGCTGTACAGCACCGCGAAGATCACCAGCCGCTGGCTGTTCGGCGTCAAGCAGAAGCGCAGCGGCACGCACAAGGACGAGCGCAGCAAGTCGGTCAGCGACGGAATGCTGGGCACGGACGTGGACAACAAGGACGTCGTCGGCAGCAGGAAGCTGGCGCCGGTGGCGCGGAGTGACTCCGACAAGCGCCGCTTCTCCGACTCCATGCTAGACCGCGCCTCCGCCGGTGGCGACAAAGTGACAGTCAGAAAGGAGGCAGCGGGTGGGCCGTATCGCCGGACCACTCCGCGTCTTATGACATCCGACTCTCCCGAACTGGCTTCCAAGAGGTCTAGCCAGACGGATGATCTGCGCGGAGGAGGAGGACCGCGAAACACGCCTGGCACGCAGGACACCTCAAGCCCACCGAACAAACTCCGCGCAGACTCCGACCCCGGCAAGAGGCAACAACTGGACTCGAACGACGACGCAAGTGATGCCGCTGGGCCTACCAAAGTGGCCTCGTCGCCGCCCGTGTCGTCGAACAAGCGTATCAACAAGACGCTTTCACAGGCGTCGAGCTCCAGCCACCTGAGCACGGATTCGGCCGAGATGATAAGCGCCGGTGGGGCGTCCTCACTTGTCAAGGCCAAGATCAAATCATTCCAGGACATTGTCGAGAAATCGGAGAAGATCGACCCTGCGGCCGCAACGAAGGACAAGGAGACGGACCAGAAGCGGCTCAAGCGAACTCGCACGTTCAACGACGACTGGTGGCAGCAGAGATCAGCCAGCCAGAAACCGTCATCAGTCCACAAATTAAGCATCAACTGAAGTCGATCGTGACTGCAGAGTGAGCATAGGCATTTCGTGCTTAACGTTAGTACATCTGTGTGTGTGTGTGTGTGTGTGTGTGTGTGTGTGTGTGGAGTGCCAGGTGGCATCACAGGCACGCAGCCAGGCTTATCCAGTAGGGCTAGCGTTGCAATAGCCGTAGCGTGACACACTTTGTGTATGGGGGGTCCGAACTTTCCAGGCCCTATACTCCGGACACACGGGGTGCTTGCATGTGCCACGCAGTTGCGGCGTGCAGTGGTGCTTGGCATGGATGTGCGGTGACCCGATTAGCTGCAATAGCCACGCTCCGGGCTGCAGCTCCATCAGCCGAGATTCCTGCGTTTGTACGGCTGCCTATCTGCAGCCCCTTCAGCCCAGATTCCTGTGTTTGTACTCCTGCCGATCTGCAGCCCCTTCAGCCGAGATTTCTGTGTTCGTACCACTGCCTATCAGACGGCAAGGTTTGCCGAGGGACCAGCAGCTGTGGGCGTTATCCATGCTAGCCATGCTTCTCCCCAGTACTCCACTTGCCACACACACACACACACGCCGCCATACGCCAAGCGCCGCTGGCCGCTGTTTTGCTACCGCTGCGTTGAGCAGCTCAGCGGCTTGATGTACACCCGCGTTCACAATCTCTGCTGGTGCTGCTGCTGCTGCTTTACTGTTTACACTTCTGCTTCCCCTTGGCATGGTCCTTTTCTTATACCGACTCTGTTGGCTTTTGCGGCTTTGTCCGCAAGGCCCCTCTGGAGGGTCTGCTTTTCAGACATGTTTTTTTTTCACCAGAATCTAACGAGAAACGAACGCGTGCGGGAGATGCGTGCGCAGTGAACCTGTGAATTTATAACAAAATTATTTATTTTATACCAGACCGTCAACCTGTCATATCGGTAGTATCTGAAAGTCATTCGAATATATTTGGCTTCTAAATATTGCCGCAAGCTTCCCTTTATCCGAATGTCGACTACTCGGCTAATGCAACACTTGCAGATACACAACGCACACACCCTTCTGTCTCGCATGCGTGCGCTCACCTGTCTCTCTGTCTGTGTCTGTCTGTCTCTCTCTCTATCTCTCTCTCTATCTCTCTCTCTCTCTCTCTCTCTCTCTCTCTCTCTCTCTCTCTCTCTCTCTCTCTCTCTCTCTCTCTCCCTGAGACTGCAGCGATGGCGTGCTGTCATGCCGAGTGTCCTTGCCACAGCCACCCACGCATGGCGCCAGAGTTCTGTCCCGTGTTTTCTTGCTGTTGCTGTATGGCCTCGCTGTCCCCGCGTACAGACACTTTTGCCTCCTGCGGGTCCCTAGTTTCTGCTGCTTCTGCTGCGTGTACACGCTGTACATCTCTTTGGCGAGTGTGTGGCTTGCCTAGTCTGTGCACAATTATTTATTTTATTACCATGTTTAGTTTATGTGCTATTGATGATTGTGTGCTGTTGGCTAGCACATATGTCCTGTTCCATGGAGAATGCTCTGGTGTGTGTGACTGCGCATGGGCAAAGACCGCTGATCTGATGGTGATTTTCTCGGTGTCACCGGCAACTGGTGGGATGATACCGGTACGTTGCGGTCTGAAACTCCATTCCGTTGTGCTGCTCTGTTCAGGCTACAAGCAACAGTAAAAAAGGTGCAGTAGAGTCGCGCGCCCAAGAACGTTGTTTCCAAGGGGCTAGCCTGGGACATTCTTATTTTTTCACCAATCTGGCTGTGTTCTTATAGCACGTTCTTAGGGCCGGGTTACACTGCGGCTCCGCTGCTCGTCTTTCGCGGCTTGAAACGTCATCATTACCATAGTGACCGCGGCTCGAGCTGGAGCAGCGAGGCCGCGGCTCACCGCGAGCTTTCGCTACGATTCTTGACCAAAAACTGCGAGCCGTGGTCGTGGCTCGACCTGTTTCCCGTACTTTGCATTGTTTTGTACGCCAGAATTTTAAAATTCAAAATTTAATTCGTTGCGCCGGCCAGAACATGAGGCGCATGCGCGCAGCAGGCAGGTGAAACCAGGGAGTAGTACAATACCGGTATTGTACTACTTCCTGGGTGAACGTCATCAGAAAGTGTGGACCACGACCGCGGTACCGCGAATGGCGAGTGTCAGTGCAGTGGAACCGCGCTGCGTGCCGCGGAGCCGCAGTGGAACCCGACCCTTAGCAACAATCCCTACTGAATCATAATGTATGCCACAATCTCCCAGAAAACCAAAACCGGCTATGACGTTCTTAGTATTTCAGGGCTGGGCGTTCTTGGGCTCCACGTTCTTCAGCTCGCGACTCTACTCGTAACTGTAGTTTATGGTGTGACTTGCTGCTGTGTCATGCAAAACGGTGAAAAAATTCACGGTTCGCGTCAGACTCGGTTCCTCTATATAGAGGCTGAGTTTTCCGCATCCGTAGAAACGCCACCACCCTTCAAGGATCAAGGCGCAGATGCAGCTCCTAAAGCGGTGGGAGGCGAGTAGATCAGCTCACCAGCATGTGGTCAAAGACCGAAAATCCCATTCACTGCATCCATGTTTGTTCTCGTGCCAGGCCACGAGTTCCCAATTAAATCACCTCAGTGATACGGTGATTTAGACCCGAACCTGCTTTGGGACAGTTCTCCTATTAACCCTGAGTGCCAGGGAGAACACTGTATTCTAAGACTCACTAGATCCCTGCTGATTACCTAACGGTGTTGTTGCGAAAGTTGTTGTCGTCCCTGAAATGAACATCATTTGTTTCGTACTCGGACCCCCCCTCTGAAACGAAAGCAGCTTGCTGTGCTGGATGATGAATCGCATTCAGGTACAGTGTGCAGTGTCGGTCGACTTGCGATTTCGGTTCGCACCCCCTCCCCCCGCCCCAACGAATGCTGTTCGTTAGTTTCAGGGGCGAAAGATTCCAGTACAACGGCCACGGACAAGTGTCCCACTGAGATGCGGTTGGCGGTCGCTCGCCCGGACCACTCCGACGCGGACACCTGCGAAGAGCAGCCTGAGACGTTATTTTTTTATGACAGAAAATCTGCAAAAAAGTTGGGCTTGTCCCTTTAAAACGAGAAAAGATGTGATCAGCTTCATGCAGCATACCTGTACAATCATGTACATGTACATGTACCGTAGATGCGGATCTCCACACCATTTACCTTTCTACATCTCACTTACCTTTCTACTAGTACCAAGAGTATAATTATAACCACCCGGCGGGTTATAACACTCTTGCTAGTACCAAGAGTACTTTGCTTGTTGCGATTCTTGTTTTCTTTTTTTCCCTTCCGGTTTAGTTATTACATGTGCTGTATTAAATACAGTACATGTAAATATAAATTTTATATTATTTGGTGCAATATTAGCGCCCCTTTCTCGCTCCAAATAATTATTATTTTCGCTACTTGACCCTGCAACCCCCCCCCCTTTTCGATGCCAGGTTGCAACGCTAACGCGGAGACCTCCGCTCGGTCGAGTTGGTCCCTGTGCATCGACACGCGCGTACGCGACACGTCGTCCCTACATTCCCTGTGTCTTGTTTTGTGTTTGCCGCCATATGTCTCTTTGAAATTGTAGGGCTGTGTTCCTAGTAAGAAAAAAACCCTCTGGTTTTGTGCTCTTCATGCATATCATCAAGAGTACATACCCAGTAACCCCGCCCCCCCCCCCCCCCCCCCAGAGTCCATAACCCCATGGACTCTGACTGTAGAATTAGTACCGGTAGTAGTAGTAGAATTTATTATTTTGATAGGGAAGGCCCTACAGACGTTGCCGTCTCGTTACAGACGCCCTGTTACAGTGAACCCTAAGCGCTCTTTAAAGAAGCGAAACAAAAACGGATAGATGCTCAACTTGATGACATGAGACAGGCAGAGGATTCCACCTATCACTGAGCGCCAAGGAAAGAAATAGAGAACATGCCTGCACTCTTGTTGATATCATATGCTCCCAGCAGTCCCACGGAAAATTACGATTCCACAAATACAAATTTTTCGGGATCTTGACGATTTCTTTTAAATCGGCAATTTCCGTGATTTTTGAAGTTTTAAAACGTTTTTTCAGAATTCCCAAACTCCATTGTATTTCTTGCACTTGAAAATACTGCCATTCCGGTAGGCTCCGGCGGATTATGCTCGCGAAATCATGGAATTATGCTTTCATGGATTCTCGCATTATGCTCGCAAAATCCTCGATCGTATTATGCTTCGGCACGCGGGGATACATATCCACTTTGTTGTACTTATGGAGCCTCAAAGTTCGGAAAATCGTGCCTTTTTCGTACTTGCAAGTGGCCATAAGTACAACAAAATACATGTACATGTACATGAGTATCCCCATACCAAGGTGTCCATGCATGCTAGAGATCAACATGGAAAAGAGAAAACATCACTTCTTCTATTCATTAGTTGACTTCTTTGTAAAAAGATTTTTTCATTGCCAAATTGGTTTGAGTTACCTTTGAACACCCAACACGGTTCAATTGTCTTTGCAATCGTCATACTCGTCCAACCGATGTCAACCTCACCCTGCTATTAATCAGCTCATCTCTCCCGTAGCTCCACCTCTACTTCCATCATGACCGAACATAAACTTTTACCTAAATTTGTTTAATTATTAGAACAATGGGGCTGTTAAGTGATGACGTCACAGTTCCTTCGATACGCATAGCAACGATCCCACTGGGGACAAACAAAAGTAGCGTCGTCTCCACCGAACCAGTTGTCAGTGGCAACACATAGGAATCGTGTACATTTCTTCGTTTCTTCTTTGCTGTTTTCAGTGTTTGTTTGTTTATTTATTTAGAGTCGAAGAACAAACAGGCAAATTTGCCTAATTACATGATATCGACTAAAAAGGAGAATAAATTATAAAAGGCCAATGAAGGTAATGACACTGAGTAGAGTGGGTAGTAAAGTGAGTGTTTGGTTTTCTCTTTGTCCTTGATCTCGACGGTGTTGTCGTGCTCATTACCTTTCTGAGACGTCTCTTGTGACTGTAGCCAGTGTCACGGAGGATTTTATTGGCGTGACGAGGTAGATCGCCGAGATCGAGCGTGAAAAACGCTCTGCATTAGTAGCTCCTGTAGAATGTCTTCTGGGATGGCGTATCCATGGTCAACAAAGCCAAGGTGCAAGACAGCATAAGAGATCGTGTAAACGATGTGAACTCCAAAAGGTAAGCTCCTGAACAAGTGGAAAGATATGTGTATTTACAAACTCTCTCTTCATCCATCGATTGCCGCTATGCATTGCATTTTGTCTTCACAGATATTCTGGACAAATAAATTATATTGTAACTGGAGAGTGCAATCGTACTTGGGACCCATCCCAATGTCATCACATGGCTGTGGTGACTAGTGTAGACCTGGGAGAGTTTTTCCTCAACTGAGACGGAGTGTAGGTGGATGGATTATGAGAAATGCGAAGATGTGGAGTAAGTAATAGTTGTGTCGAAGAAATGTGTAATAAAATAAAATTTACTTTACACTCAAACATACACTCATGTACATGTAACATCATGATAATGATTTCATCTTCATATCTCCGCATCAGGTACGCCATACGCACCGAATACATGGTGTGTGTGCACGCGCGCGCTTGCGTGCGCGCGTACATGCACACACTCTCATGCGTGGCCGAGTTGGCCGGATGAACAGACCACGCATTTGCACGAGGTGTCCGTCATGTCATTGGAATGCTGTACTTTATGACTTTATTCCAAAAATTAATAGTATGTCTTGCCCCTGTCAAATGGAGCTTGTGTCTATGCTCAGCGGGTATCGGGCCACGACGCCACACTGCAGTCAGCGCTGGAATTAAAATAGCACTTCATGGATTATTTTAACTAATTTCCTTTGCGTTTACATGTACTTTGTTGAGCCCGTGGTTTCATTTCTGTGTTCTGTTATGATTGGCCTCTGGAAATAATCGGAGTGGATGTCATTTTTGTCATATGTGTGTGCCTTGTGCAACAGGTTAAAGGCTAGATGCACTTCACATTCGGTGTGCGATCTCGGCGTCTGGGACCTGAAAACGTCTTGGTTGGATGGGTGATCAAGGATGATACTACTCGGCACACCAATGTACATGTCAATGTATTTTTTACTTTTTCAGAGCTGCACTATTTACGGACGATTGTGTCTGTGAGAGAGGAAATAAATTAATAGTATTCACAAACAAGTCCAACTTATTGTTTCTGTGCGTAAAAGGAAATTGCAATTTTTTGGTCATATTGTTTGTTCCGGCTGTTTGTCATTGACTGTTCTTCAGGGTTGTGTTGCTGGAGGCCGTGGCCGAGGCAGGCCCAGAATGTCATGGCTTGATAATATTATTTCATGGACTGCACTGGACGTGCAGTCCCTGCTCGCTGCTGCACGCGATCGATTTTTATGGCGCTCGCTTGTTCATACTTGCTCTGTGACGCCCCGACGGCCTTAGGGCTATGGGCTTGTGATGACGACTATTTACGTCTTGATGCTTACTTCGGTGCTAGCG